AAGAAAATTGAGTCTAATTTGTTCAAAATCACAATTCAATTCCCAAATTATTTCACATTTTGCTTGATAACCCATACCAACTTCACATCTTCAAAACTCATGCAAATTAATTTCCATATCATTTTGAATTTTACATGCATGTGAAATATAGGCTTCGTTTTCAACTTAAATAACACAATCGATGCTCATCGTCATCAAACTTAACATTATCATGTTTGCATGTGCCAAATAGCCTTCAATTCTTCCTATAAGGCATGTTCGTACTCAATTATGCAAGCTCATGATAGTTTTTTACATGCATGCACATACAAGCTTCCAATTCATCAAATTCAACTCAATTTATGTTCTTGATTACCATCTAACTTTGAATTCACAAATTTACAAACTCAAACTTATGAATTTGTGCTTAATTACTCACCTAGGAGCTCCAATCTTCCAAATTCTAGCTAGTTCTTGAGCTAATCCACTTAATTCTCCAATTACCTTGCAAAATCTTCAATGTTGGCCACTTTTTCTCTAAATTCGGCTCACTCTATCTCTAGAGTGCTATTTCAGATTTTTGAGCCCTTAAGGAATGAGTATGAGTGTAATTGGGCCTTTATATACACACTTGGCTAATCAACTTAATTAAGGCCAATTAACTAAGCTTAAATTAATCAATTTAATCTAATTATTTTGATCCAAATCAATTTTCAATTAAATTTCACCATAAGCTCTAAAAATTGCGCTAATTACAATGGCGTAATCAATTTCAGTTTCTAACGCTTCTACGGCCTTCAATTAAAATTCTAAAGTAGGAATTCAAACAGATTTTCCTATAGTGAACAGATAGAAATTCAAAAACACATATAATCATGTAATTATTACTCAAAATCATATCAAGCATATAATCACAATCATAATTAAGATCAATTGGCATAACACGGGACAGAGTTATCACATCTTCAGGCGTTAGTGTTTGCAATGGCCTCTTCATCAGCTTTTTCCTCAACGTTGATAAGTCCTATTGAATGAGCCTTGGATACAAATTTTTTCCTTGAGGTTGAATAAGGATAGTGTGCTTGCATAACCAGTACTATAAAATAAAAAATCGAAATTAGTTAATTCTCTAAAGATAGATTGTGTAATATTTCAAGTAGTTCAATTTACTTACCAAAAGAAGAAGTACATATCCAGTTACATTTTCAAGACTTCCTAATGAAGACTGGATTAAAGTAATCAACGTAGATGCAACTGCAGTCGACCATGCATATGAATTCATCATTTCTAAATCTTCTACAAGGGCGACAAAAGCCTATCCAATTGTTAGACCGGTTATTGGTAATAGCAAAGTTGCCACAACAATAAACACATTATTCGTGCAATATCCTCAACATCAACTGTCGTTGTGCCTCCCAATGCATCTCGTAATGCCTCTCGCAAACTCTGTACGAATATTCTTGAGATATTACGAAACCTTCTCTGCACAAAAGGTGATTCTTATTTCTTCCTATATGAGACGTCTACTTTTTTCGTTTCCGATTTTATCCCAAAAATCAAATTAACGTCACTGTCCTGTATGTCATACGTTTTCCCCCCAAGCTTAAATCCCTTTGCATGAAAGTCATAAGACTTGATCACATCCATGACATTATCATCAACTTTCTTGAACTTTTTCAACACCACATCTTCTTTCTTCCAAAAAGATTTGAATAAGATCCCAAAAGGTGTTATCTCGAGGGCAGTAATGTGTCTTTCAGTGAACCTTGTGTCTCGCATTAGGTTTATCAATAAAACCATTTGACCTATATTGTTTCACATAGTTCTCTCTCTCCCATATTCCATGTACAATATTCAACTTTGAAGGTTTTCTTGTTGAAGGCATTGGATTGCTTCAATGAGAGCCTTCATCCTCACTGGGGGAGCGCTTTCTCAGTCTCGTTGATGCAAGCACAAAATCATCATTACATGCATCATCCACATTGCTTATGGATTTTCTACTGTGCTTTTAGGGAGTTTCTTCTTTTCTACAACCGTTGGTGGAACTTCAAAATCATCATCATCGTCACCATCCCTACGCTTGCTTCTAGTAATAACCATTTTTGAACACTAAAAGGTTTCCCTGTATCAATAGTGTAACATTTTACTTTAAACAGCAAAGTAACAAAACAATAAGCACTAAAGAAAATGAAGAATAATGCAACAAATCAAAAATGCAAAAACATTGTAATTAAACAATAAAGTTTTACTGTAAAAGTAAAATTTTACTCTGATTGGAAGTAAAATTTTATTCTGATTGGAAACAAAATTTTACTTTGATTAGAAGTAAAATTTTACTTCGACTAAACAAAAACATCTACAAAAATTCTACAACAAATAATATTGACAAAGGTGCATCGCCATATTCAAGAAATGATGGTGAAGAAACAGAGATAGTTCTATCGAAGTATAGAAATTACATATAAAGATCACAAAAACATATATTCAACAATATACACTACAATCATATTCACGTACATAAATAGATAAATATATGCACAAATATATTCATATATAAATTGATATACACATTTATATAATAAGCAAAGGCTAGAGAACATATACAACAAGAAATCAATAGGCATTGATGAAAGCATAAAAATGCACAAACATTGTAATGAAACAATAAAGTTGTAAAGTAAAATTTTACTCTGCCTATAAGTAATACTTTACTCTCATTGAAAGTAAAATTTTACCCTGAATAATATACACTAGAAAATAAACCAAAAAAAAAAAAAACATATATTGAACAATATCACATTCACATACATAAATATATACATATATACACACATATGTTCATATACAAATTGATATACACATTTATATAATAAGCAAAGGTTAGAGAACACATACAGCAAGAAATCAAGAGGCATTGATGAAAGCATAAAAATGCACAAACATTATAATAAAACAATAAAGTTTTAAAGTAAACTTTTACTCTGTCTATAAGTAACACTTTACTCTCATTGAAAGTAAAATTTTACTTTGAACAATATACATTAGAATATATATATATATATATATATATATTGAACAATATACACTACAATCACATTCACATACATAAATAGATACATATATGCATACATATTTTCATAAACAAATTGATATACACATTTATATAATAAATAAAGGTTAGAGAACACATACAGCAAGAAATCAAGAGGCATTGATGAAAGATCTGCAATGTCATTGGCACCGTTACTCACGGCGGTAGTGGAAGGAGGTTTTGAATGCTCACGATAGTAGTGGAATGAGGGCTTTGGATGCTATTGCAGTGGTGGAAGTAGGGTTTCGAATGTTGACGGCAGTGGTGTAATGAAGGTTTCGGATGCTACTACGATGGTAGAAGTAGGGTTCCGGATGATAGGGTTTCTGAATCACGCTTTTTCAAAGCAACAAGTTGGTCGATGAAACAGAGTGAGAGTGATGGGGACAAACGGTTCATATTTGCCCATTTATATAGAAGGATATTTCAGTCTTTTCATCATATTTTTTTTATTTAAGGGGCTTTTGAAACCATTATTTTATTCCATGGGTTTCACACAAAAAAAGGCCCAATGAAAGGGGCTTTTCACCAAAAATCCTTTTTTTTTATGGTGTAAAGATCTTGTTACAAAGAATCTAAACCCATTTTAATCTCATCTCAACCAATAATTGAGACCTACTTTAATTTCACATTAAAGTTACCGTAAAACTATTTTTTCCCACACCTTCCTCAAGTTGTAGAGTGGCGTCCAAAGGGCATGGCCTTGGGTTCTTGGTTACCAAAAAATAATCACAATTGGTAAAGTCTCATTTGGCAAGATAGTTTGGATTAATTTAGTCCAATAAAAGATAAAATAGGTTAAAAAGTCAATAATATAAAATGTCACATTCAAACCACAATTATTTCATGATTTTTCCTCACAAAACTGTAAAAAAATCAGAAGTTCATTTCAAATGAAATTTTGTTAGTTAGGCTAAAATAGAAAAAACGCTAAAAAATCAAATTAAAAAGTTCTTCCCAAGTACATGCTTAGATTGCTGCTAATCTAAAATGATCTTAGAGCATCTCAAATCGTTCATTAGATATTTCATCAATTTTGAGTGAAAATTTGATATGATATGATGAGCTCTAACCCTTTCATCAAATCTAACGGGTCACCTAGCCTAGTATAAAATTTCAAAAAATCTTTCCAAAATTGGATCATCCACCTAGATGTCCACCGACAATTACTTACAAAATTTGATGAAAAGATAATGCACTCCCTTGATTTGATAAAAAAATCTTTCATTTTATATCAATTTGGTGAAATTATTGGAATATCATTTTTACCAAATTTTTATTAAATTTAAATTTGATAAAATATTAAATACATCGTTGGATATGGTCTTCCACCACTAATAATCACCACGTAAATTTATATCACAATCTAAATATTAAATATATATATATATATATTACAATAAAAAATTTACCAACACTGCTAATACTAATATTTAATTTTATATTACAATGAAAAATTATATGAATTTTTAATTTTATCAATTTAAATACTAATATTTTGATTTATTTTTAATTCAAACGATTGACTTATTTTCGTTGAATAAAATTGATAAAAAAAATATTATTTTAGTCATTAAAACCAATATAATAAGTATATGAAAAATACCTAAAACATCATTTTTATTAAGTTTGATGACTAAAATACTTATTCTTCATCAATTTATCTTATTTTTGTTGAGCAAAATTCATAAAAAATAATATTTTAGTTATTAAACCCAATATAAGTGTATGAAAAATACTTAAAATATCATTTTTATTAAGTTTGATAACTAAAATACTCATTTCTCGTCAATTTTACGTAACATAAATACATAAATGATTAAAATTGTTAATAAATTAAAATATTAAGATTAAAATTGGTAAAGTTAAAAATTAAAAATTTATTTTATTAAACTTGGATTTTTTTTTTTAATTTTATAATTTGTCATATAAAAACTGTGGAGAGGAATGAAAAAAGAAAAAGAAGCTGGAGAGAGAAGGAGGGAGAGAAGCAGCACCACCGTCGTCTGGCGGAGCTCACTCACGACATAGAGTGAATCAGGTTCTTCCTCCAAACTTGAAATTGAACGAACCAAAACAGATTGGCAAGTTAAATTTTTGAATTGAAAAATTAGAGGGTTTTTGATTTGTACATTTGTTTTTTAGCTGCATTTTCTCTCTTTGAATTGCATAGTGGTTCTCCATTAAAGACATATATAAATTGGATTTCATATTTGATTTGTAGTATAAACAAGAAATTCCCCAGTTTTTTTAGGTGTTTCAAGGTGTGCTTTTATCATGCGAATGAGAATTAATGACTCACAATAACAATCTCAGTTTTTTTCACAAATCAGCCAATTTTTTATAACTACAAATTTTGATTTCACTTTTTAACCCTGTAATCTTTGTTGTATGATGTCAAAACACACAATTTAAACCAGTGTAATTGCAGCCAATCGATCGTTCGTTCGTGTCCCCCTTGAGCTCTGATCAAAATCCATGGATTCACAGAGCCAAAACACTTCGCTGCAACGACTCCAAACTGTAGAGCAGGTAATCAATCAATCTTTCTTGTTTTCTTCAATAATAACTAGTCCTCACAATATCAAATTCCATTTAATTTCAAATCTAATCTATATATTTGTTTGGGGGTTGTAACAGAGAATAGTTAGGGTTTTGGAGCTCGCTGGAGGAGTAATGGACGAACTCTCTAGCCCTAGCAGTCCCAGAAAGGAATTGGTTAGCAGCCAATGCAGTGAGTTCATGCAATTAATCAAGGTTCCTCTCTCTCTCTCTCTCTCTCTCTCTCTGATTGAAATTTTGTTTGGTTTAGTTGTTTCGGTTAACTTGGAAACAGATACATTTTGGAACTGTTTCAAAAAAAATTCTGAAATGTTATGGAAATATAGGTGGATCATAAGTGACTTAATCATGCTTGTTTGATATTCTCATACTTTCTGGTTTCTTGATTCTCTAATAAATTTTAGATTTTTCTTTGTTCTCAAATCTTTTCTTTTTGACAAAAGTGGCAAATATAAACGATCGTTTCTGAATTCTCCTATGTGTTTGCTATGTTTTGTTCTTTCTTGGTGTGGTGTGGTGCATTGCAGTGGAAAATATTGGAATTGCAATATTACACTATTGTTTCATTTTGGTTTCCTGAGAAAGATAATAATTTGTTTCTTGAGATATATGTATATATATATATATATATGCGCATAGACAATTTAAAGATTAGAACTTTGTGGCAAATTGGGCTAGTTCTTGGATTTGACTGGTTGTTTAGTGGTTGTTCACGGGGTTCCTCAGAATCCCACGATAACAATGTATATGGAAGTAGATAACCTGTCTATTGCAAACAATTTAAGGCACATTGGAGAGGCCTAACTTGCAAATCACTTGGCTTTAAAATAGAGTTACTAGAATTTTTTGTTTTCTAATTTATTTGTCTATTTTTGGGGAATTGATAATAACAATAGTTTAATGTTGTGTGAAGAAGTATCTGTGAAATTGATTGAAAACTTGGATATTGATTTTATACTTATGTTAGTGTGACGGTATCGCTATCCCCTAGAAACACCACACATGCATGTAGTGTCAAACTATTTGTTAGATGGACTCTTCTAAATTTGTGAAGTACCTACATTGGACACTTAGTATTTTAGGGCATGTTATATCATATGTGTCCTACATTACATGGATTCTTTGAAATTTGGGAGGTACTCGTGTCAACACGACACAACACGGGTACAGGTGCAAGATACGGCCGGGATACGGCTCTTTACAAATTGATATGGCTCTATTTTGTCCTAAATGCAAAAGAAACGAAAGAGAGAGAAAGGAGAGAACCTGTTGCTGGCTTCGATCCTCTATTTGACGACTTCAATGAGCATGGCCCCTTCGATCCTTTGTCGCTAGCTTTGACTTCCCTTTCGACTTCGACAAGCATGGCCTCTTCAACTTCATCTTTGATGAGCACCACCGTAGACGATCTTCGTCTTCGTCTCTCTCTCTCCCTCTCTCTCGATCTCTGTTTTCTCTTTTCTCTCTGTCGACCTCTTTTCTCTTTTCTGTTCTCTCTTCTCTTCTCTTCTCTACGTCGGTGAATATCAATCTCTTCTCTCTCTCTCTCTCTCAAGAAATTCAATTAAATCATATATAATAAAAAAAATCTAATAAAATCTATAAAACAAATCATCTATTTTTGTATTTATTATTTATTTTAACATAATTTGTTATTCTTTATTTGTTATACTTTTTTTATTTATAATATATATATATATATATCAATAAAAAGAAAAAAATTATATAAATAAATTAAAAATATTATCAATAAAAATAATACATAAGATAAAAATAATAAATATATTTTTAAAATAACTATTTAACTCATCTTCATATAATAAATATATTTGAAAAATAACTATTTAACGTATCCCCGTCCGTACCCGTATCCAAATTTGGATCTGTATCCATGTATCCTTAATTTCAACCCCTAGATATGCACCCACACCCGAGTCTATGTAACGTAGTATGTGTCTGACATATCTTTTTAGTCATGCACCCAACAAATATATTTATGTAGAAGAGTTTATTGTGAAATCATGCATAAGAATCGCATTCTATGAATAAAAAGCTCTATATAATCCTTTGACATTTGCCTAACTTGCAATTTGGAAGTCATTTGAGAGGGCATAAGGGAACTTCCGCAAACACCCCATAGATATTTTTTTGGGTGAAAATTTGGCACATGCTGCATCATTATAAGGGCCTAGTTGTTTGCATGAATTGGATAATTTCATTTAGGATTAACTAGTTCAAAATCTAAAGTTCAGAGAGTTTGTGTAGGTTAAGCTGAAGACATTTTAAATGTCCCAACATGGATTAGGTGTTCAATGTTTTAAAATAAGTGATCCACATGAAATTTCATGAGGAAATTAAAATGTGTAGACTTTTGAGTTGTTTCATTTTTAGAACCAAACACATCTATTTATCTAATTTGTAAATGGGGTAATTCTAAATGGCCCAATGCATATCTTTGGACAACCGAATGGACCCTATCAGTATGTTTTCATTTCAAATTATCCGGAATATAGTATTCATGCTATGGGATAGTAAGAAATAATTCGGGAACTATTCAAGTCTAGGCTAGGGTTTAGTTGCTTAATGAAAAATTTAGGAGGTAGTTGAAGTTCCGATACCCGCACCCGAGTCCGTGTAACGTAGATTACTATTAGGAATCTCTCTCTCTCTCTCTCTCTCTCGCTCTCTATTTATTATCATTTTTTTTTGTTGAACTGGGGTATAGTTGTGTGTAGTCAATTGGTGTGTGGGATAGCTGAGCAATTGGTGTCTAGTCCATTCTAAACTACAATTCTCTTATTACTCAAAATTTTTGGCTACTATGGTACTAGTATGTTTTTAACTAAACTAATCAAAGTTCATGTTTTGCTATGGAATAGGACATCCAAATGACACTGAGGGATGAAATCAAAAGTGCATGCGAGTATCGTCCATTCGAGAAGTGTGATTACAGTTCAAGAATATCTAACGAGATATGTTGCAAGAAACTGGAATTTGTCACTGCACAGTTGGATGGGATGAAACAAACCATTGATGGATATTATGATGCAGCTTGAAGACACCCCATAGCATTAGTATGCAAACTTGTGCTGAAGATTATTGCCTTGCCCAGCTTATAAAAATCTTAGAAATTAATTTGATGTACTTAGTAAGGTACTTTTTATTCTTAGATTTGATAGCAAATTACTTTACACAATCTAAAACCATGTTCAATGCCTCTTTTGTATGTTGTGGAATATGAGATGGTTTCTTTATTTTGATCAATACCTTGTTAGTATCTTGTGATGTTCATGAGGTTAGTCTGTTCTTGCAAATTTCTTTGAAGTATGTGATGGATTAGTAACATGCTAAGTTACTTATTTTTTAATTTCAGCAATTAAATGATTGTGGGGTATGTTTTTACCAAAGTCAGAAGGTTTATTACACCTAACTTTGAAGACATTTTTGACTTGTGCTTAGGTGTTTAAATTTGTCTTTGAAATAAATGTTTGTATATATAATATATAATAATATGCTAAGTTACTTATTTTTTAATTTCAGCAATTAAATGATTGTGGGGTATGTTTTTACCAAAGTCTGAAGTTTTATTACACCTAACTTTGAAGACATTTTTGACTTGTGCTTGGGTGTTTAAATTTGTCTTTGAAATAAATGTTTGTATATATAATATATAATAATTATTTATCTTTAATTATATATTTATCTTGATATATGATATATAATTATTTCGTGTTGTGTTATGAACTATAGGCCACACCCTAAACCCAATTGCACAAGTCGGTGTGGCAACCGCTCCATAGGCATGCAAGGCTTCAACCTGAGTGTCTTCACCTAAAATAGCCACAATAATCCTAGAAATAAAAATTCTCCAATAAATACAACAACCTAGCTCCCCAATTTAATCAAGATATTAAAACCACCTCCTTTAAAAGTTATAGTCATCCACATATTCAATGATAGGAGAAAATTTAAAGTCCACAATATATGAATCTCATCTCTCTTCTTATAGATAATTTACATGTAACAATGAAAGATACATAAAAATATACAAATCATTGCAAGCAAGAACAGATAATGAGCTGTTTCCTTTAACAAACACTCAAATGACCAAGAAAATTCTAAAACTTTTTTCTCCTATTAAAGAAAAAAACAACTAGCTATTGACAGCAATGTCTGCACTTCTCTGCTCGGCCATTTTATGAGGGGTGGTGGTGATGGTTTTGCCTGTCTCCTTCGCTGTTTTTGAATGGTCCTTAATTTTGCAAGTGCTGTTGTTACCATTCCTTCCACTGATCTGATCCTTTTTTTTGAGAGGGCTGGCAGAAGCACTGCCGTCTTTGTGGCTGCCAAAGCTGTGGCGAATTGCCCTGTTACAAACTCCCTTTTCCTCTGAGGACGAGCCAGCTACGTCACCACAACTCTTTCTCCGATTCAACTTTGGTGATTTGGCACGAGTCAATGGAAGCTGCCATCCAATTCAAGTAAAATTACATTGTTCTTGAACAAAAGAAGCTAGTGTAGAAAAGTTTCCAATTTGGAAGTGTAATCTTATATGAGCACACACCAATGGTTTACAAAATTAGTACTAAAAAAAAAAAAAAAAGTAAGACGAAGAAAGAAAAGCAAAAGGGTTCCTCATTCTGAAACACCCATTAATTGGTTTTGTTTAATCTTTTCACAACCATGTAAGTGGAAGGTGTGTTAAGCTCAGCTGCAACACAAACTCAGAGAGTTTTAGTGAAAAAAGGGTTGATCAGCTTGCCAAGGGATTCTATCCCACTGGCGTTACCACAACCCTCTCATATGAGAGGTTGGGGGTTCAAACCTTGCCAGAGGCAAGATAAGGGTGTATAAAAGCTTCTTCAGTTCCCATCTGTTCCCACCCATCTATGCCGCTTATCAGCTCCCCCTAAAACCCAATACCCCTAGGATTAGGATATATATATATATTCCAATCCTCAAAAAAGATAACCAGCTCAATTTTCAGTTCAGTTGCAGCCCTAATGATATCTTTTAGGTTCCATGAATTTCCAATTTTCTTCCAGTTCCGACCTTTTTCCAGATGAAATAACATCTTAGACTCTCAACTTCACAGGACTATCGATGAGAAGTCCAAACTGAGTACCTTTTTTAGTTCTTTCTTAGGTGGAGGTCCTTCCTGGTAAAAGCTAGGGACCGGATTTGCTTTATATGTCATGGTCTTTCTAAGCTGCTTTATAGCTGCCTCTTCGTCCTCCTGGAAATTAAGAATAGACAACAGGATAAATAAAAGAAGGGTAACACGACGTTAACAATAGCCATTATGATGTGAAACAGCAAAACACAAAGGAAACAGTATAACAATACATGCACACAAATGGAAGTACCTTGGTTCTAGCTTCATATTCCAACTTCTCTGCCTCCAAAGCTTGATGTTTTTCCCCTAGCTTAGAGTAAAACTACAAAACGAAAATTAATTAAGAGAAGAAAATCGCAAGAGGAAATTAAAAGATATCGATTGAGAAAACATTTATACTCATCCACTCATTATTTGATTCATAAATACCTCTTTGCGTTTCTCTGCACGTTGAACGCATTTAAAGACGGGAGCTACTGGGACAGTGGTCTTAAATTTGACAGTCCGGACAGATGCTGCAGCACTATGCAAAGCTAAGGACACTTAAATTTAAAATGGTACCGACAAACATTGATCAAACAAACAACAAACAAAAATAAAAATGCTCAAATCAAGACCACGGCAAAGGATACGAAGAAGCCAAGGACCAATTATCTTCCTCATCAAAATGCTTCTTCCTATATGCCTGAGAATAGTTTGGCTGGTACAAATACAAAATAATCAAGATAAGCACGCTTTCCAAATCTACAATTATATTGTACAATTGTATTCACTTTGACATACAAATTGCTCAATTTGCTTATGAGGAATTCAAATCAAACCTCCATAAAGAGTTCTCAAGAAAATCTAAACATGAACGTAACGATTTAAGTGAGGCAGAGATGAAAATCATGATGATACCTGTGAAGGGCTCAAGCATAACAGCTACCACATTTTTTTCCCTTTGTAAACACATTTATTGATTAATAATTTAGAAGTCTTAATCCTCATCTTATTTGTCAAATTACCAATCAAATCCAATCTCGCATTCAACTGTTTTGTGTTAACTTCAAGCTGAGAATTATAAACTAGATGATGAGGAGAAGAGAACAAATAGGGAATCACAATCCCAAATCAAAAATCTCAATCTCAATAATCAATATTCATATAAAAATTACAAAATCTTCAATTATCTCTTTATCGAATGCCTTTCAATCCCCATCATTAGAACTGGAAATGAGTATTAACATAACAGCATATAAATGCCTCTCTTATATAATCTTGTCAGTCAAGTCTGGTATGGAACCAAACTAAAGTATGCCAATAAATTGAGTTTCATTGACCTTAAAGCAACCCTAAATGATTGGCTTTATCAAGTTGACGATTGGGTTTATATGAGGACTACTGGCTCAGAAACTATGTTACTATAACGCGGATTGTTTCTATACGAGGAATGGAAACGAAAACAAGATGCACCACATGTTCTAAAACATAGTACGATAGGGTAGTGTTATATAGATGACACTGCTAGAATTTAAGACACTATATAACATAATAGCAATTATAATTTAATAGTTAGACACCCAAACAGGTTGTATAGATCACATCAATAGAATTTAAGAAATTAAAAAATATAATAGCAATTATATTTTAATAGTTAATCATGCAATAAAATATTGTTACAGATGTAAAAGCACAATTCTAGAGTTTGAAAAGGAGAAAAGAGATGATGGCATCCTTGCATAGCAATATTAATTGACTTGCCTGTGATTTCCTTGAAGAGCCAGGGGAGTGGAAATCATTAGTATTAGGTGAACAATTCCTACCCGCATCAACGGTTTCAGGCCCAACATGATCCGTTTCAGTTGAAACCGGTTTCTCAGTTGCAGCAGGAGTAGAGGGCTGTGAAACAGTATCCTTTGTCTCCACATGACCCTGGACAGGTGAGTTCAACTTCTTGTCACTTGACTTCTGAGCCTCAGGTTTCAAGGTTTTCCCCTCAGGCAAACCAGCATCACGATTAGTACTTTTAACACCTAATACATCTTGCTTCTCATGACTTTCTTCCACAAGCGAGTCATGTGCAGTATGATCCTCTGCCTCATAGTCCTTTGCTTCGTCACTTACTTCCGAAGTTTTAGGAGAAACATGAACTGGATCATGAGAAACACCATTTGAATTCACTTTGACAAGATTAGGTTTCTTGTCAATGCGGATACCAGTAACATCCCTCCCCATGGCCCTGCACAAAAATATGGTAAAAATGTCAGAAACAAAGTAACAAAGCAAATTTAGACACCAAGAAACATAAAAACTATTAAAACAAAGGAAATATTTCCTTCTATTGTGGTTTAGTGAAGGTTTCCAGCAGCACTGTAATAGCCTATTTTTTCATTTCAATAACAATTTATCAAGGGGCCACTGCTTGGTTCATGGTAAAAGAAAAGGTTTTCTTCATGAATTTCTATCATAGACTTGCATTCCTCTACATCAAACTACCCTCCTTTGAAAATAAATAAAATATATATATACAACGGAGAAAGGGGAAAAAAAAAAAATAGAAAACATAGAATTGAAAACCACTTTGTTCATTCAACAGTGATAATAATTTACCAGCTAGCCAAGACAACAGTGGATTGACTAACCCTCCTTGGCTAACTAGGAAATATGTACAAATTAGGGAAAATTAAATAGATATTTGGGCTGGTTCGGTATCATTTTCAATGTTTCATTTTTCGTGTATTTTAAAACAAAAGTGAAAGTGCAAAGGGAGAATTCCTTCTTGAGGATAAAAACTAAAAAATGAAAACGAGACCAAACAAGTAGTAACCAACTTTCAATGATGATTCCCACAAATGTGAAAGAGAAAATGGAGAAAATTCCTTTCTGAAAAGAAGAACTAAAAAATGAAAACGATATCAAACCGGCAGTAACCAACTTTCAAGGATGATTCACACAATTGCGAAAGATAAAAGGGAGAGAATTCCTTTTTGAGAATAAAAACTAAATAATGACATCGATACCAAACCTGCAGTAATCAACTTTCAAGGATGATTAGGGGGAAAACAAAAACAAAACAAAACAAAACAAAAATGCTTATTTGTACAAGGATCTATTGAAGGAGGTGGGGGATTGACACAAACCAATACATTCACCAATATGTTGACACTAAAACAAAATCTAGAAGACACCAAATGCTAGAGACATTATATATAGGAGAAATGAAAATGAGAAAGAAAAGATCCCATTCAAAGACTCCAAAGACAAAAACATGAAAACAGAACAGACCCTTTAAACCCCTCATTTTAAAGCTCAACCTATAAATTTTTTTTTTTATAGATACATGAATATTACACATACCATATGAAAGTGAGAGAGATGGGACAGCAACCTCCATTTCAAGTCCCACATTCATAACCAGAAAATAATACCCACCAACACAAAAACAGAAACAACACAGAAAGAAGATGAATTTATGAAACTACACAGATCCAAGCAAATTGCTTTTCAAGGTTTACCCCTATATATAATCAGATCAGCAAAAATACAAAGAAAGGGGAAAGACCCAATTCATCAAATAGTTCAAAATAGTGCTTAAAACCCCTCATCATTCACGTAACCCCCAAAAGAATATCCAAAAAAGTATCAATAGATAAATGAAGAAAGTGAGAGAGAGAGAGATGGGAAAGCAACCTTCATTTCAAAAAGCCCACATTCATTAACAAGAAACCAAAAAAAGAATCACAAATAAAAACAAAAAAAATAAAAAAATAAAAACCCAGAAAGCAAAGTGGAGAGCTGCAAATGAATTTGTGAAACAAACACAGATCGAAGCAAGTTGCTTTCAAGAATCAGATCGGCAACAAAAACAGAAAAGGGACAGAGACCCAACAAAAATAAAATAAAATAAAAAGGAGCAGAGAGATGATCTCTTACAGTTCGCAGCTCCGATCTGACGAGATTTGGACTTCCTTCTTTGAAATTAAGCGTTATGAACCACCAGTCCACCTCCACCACCACCACCACCTCTCTCTTCTGTCTCTCTCTCTCTCTCTCAAAGGAAACAAACAGACGAATGTTGTAGTAATAGATTTGAGCTTTTTTAATAATTTTGTTTGTTTGTTTGTTTGTTTTTGTTGTTGTCGTCGTTTTTTTTTTTTGTTTTTTTTTGTTTTTTTTTTTGTGGAGAGTGAGTCTCGAAAGCGTACATGTCGCGTAGTTGTTCGTGTGCGTGTATATATAGTTGTTTTCCGTTTTACACGGCGTCACTTAACGGCGCTATTTAAGAAATTTTAATAATTATTAATTATTAGATAATAAAAGTGTTAGAAATAGAGGACTTAGTGGCGGTCGAGTTTGTGTTGCCTAGGTCTTTTTTTTTCTTGGGTATTTTTTTTTTTTTGGGGTCAATATTGGATTTTGTTGGTAGGTGATGTTGCCTGCCTAATTTCCTTGGACACTTTTTTTCAACTCACTAACCAATTTCTATGTACTATGAAATTCATTTAGACACTTTACCTACGTTCGATTTATTTGATTTAAAAATATTTTTTTTATGTTTAGTGGAGTGGCGGTGGTAGTAAAATGAAACTAGAAGTGAAGGCATGGCAGTGGTAGTGAAACGAAGGTAGAAGTGGTGGTTGAGCTGAGAGTGACAGTTGTAATGTAGTGACATGGATAAGATTTTAATCTAAAAAATAATTTATGCCTTATAAAAATAAAAAATATTTTCTACCCATATTGACTTATTTTATGCTGATCATAAAAAATATTTTTTGTTAATTTTCATTTTTCATCCTACCAAATATCAAAAAATACGAAAAATATTTTTCACCCAAAGAAACTAGTGTTAATGTCAAAATTAACTTTCAATCTTTTTAAACCTTAACCTTAGCTTCACCCTACTTACCCACTATGTCCTCGTTTGGAATGAGTTAATTTAACCTAATTTTTTAAACTTTTTAACTATTTCAACCTGATTAAAAAAGTTGTGTTTGGAATGATGATGGCTTATTTATAGTTGATTTGATGGTTGAGAGAAAAAAAATAAAATAATTATACTTTAGATGTAATATTTTGTTTTGTTTACTAAAATAATATATTTTGTCTTTATTAGCTAATTTAGTCCCAAAAAGTTCATCCCAAATAGGGGTGTAATTTTGGCCCGCCCTGGCCCATCAGGGCTCGAGCGTGGGCCTATATCAGGCTTTGCGCGCTTCCGCCAAAAATCGAGCCGGCCCATGGGCTAGAAAACTAGGCCTAAGCCCAGGCCTAGAGGTATCCGGGCTTTGGGTAGGCTAGTGGCCTGGGCCTCGAGCTTTGAGCGAGCTTGGACGGGCCTAAACAAATTTTTTTTTTATTTTTTCCATCAAAATTTTATTATTTTCTATTAAAAATAGCACTGGGCCGGGTCTCGAGCTGGGCTTTTGGCCGGGCCTTGAGCGAGGCCGATGGGTCGAGCCACGGACCGGGCTTCAAAACGATGACCTAGGCCCTGGCCCAAGGCCTCGAGCTGGGGCCTTAACAGGCGGGGCCCACCTCGGGCCGCCCGCGAGCCATGGGCCCAAATCACATCCCTAATCCCAAACAACCCTATATCACCTTCACTTACTATCCTCAATCTCTCTTTTGCTTCAACAACCTCTTCTAGCCCATACCCACCCTCTCTCGCCACTGTTGACCCCACTTCTATACCCTTCACACCGTTTTAATCCCGTTCCACATCTATTGTGTGTGAGGAAAAAAGAGAGATAAATCGTGATACTCGGAGAGAGATTACAAAAACAAATCCATTTTTTTTCTTCTTAATATCATCTAGTCAATAGAATACTGTTAGTAGTATCTCATTTATTATTTTGAACCCTTAATTTCTTTGGACTCCCACTTATAAATTCTAAAATCCTTAAAATTTCTTTTCTCTCTCTAAATAATATCAAAATTATCCTTGTGAAAATATTACACCCATTCAATTGAATGCACACCCCTATACCCCAAAAAGTCTCTCTTCTAAAAATTCTAACAAAACCCACAAAAGTGATTATTATTTTATTTCCACAAACTTTTTCATGATCTGAGAAACTAAATGTATAATTTTTTATTGTTAATTCAAAATTTCCCTTTTGTGAATTCTGTGATCTCCATGAATTTCGGTTATCTATTCTCGAACAAATAAAAAATGTTTGGTTATCTGTTCCCAAACAAATGAATAATGTTCAGGCCTGTATTTCTAAATTTCGGTCATATGTTTAGGAGTTCAGTACTGAAAAAATGAAGAACAATTTTTATTATTTTTGCCATTTTTTTCAAGAAACTTACCATTACAAAGTTGATCTTTTCTGAGCTAAGAACACCATTAAAGCTATGAATCTCTTCTAAGTTTTTATTGTTGTACTTCTCTCGTCTCATAGACTTATAGTTATCAGAAAAGCTTTCCCTCATTGTCAATGTCGGAGAAGTGTAGGTAATCAAATGGTTGCCACAATTATTGCTAAAGGGTTTTCAAGATTTTGCAGGTGGGTAGGTTTTGAATGTGAAATTTGGAGAAGATGGATCGATGGTGATGAAAGTGGATACTCTCATAAACCCTAACTCATGATGATGTAGTGGATGTGTAGGCTTAATTGTGAGATACGGTATTCTAAATTTATTGATATATTTTTTAATAATTTCATTTGAAGTTATTATTATAATAAAAAAATAAGAAATTAAGGGGTCTAAAATAATTTATGAAATGCTAATAACAATACTCATTCTATATCCCTCTTGGCCCCGTTTATTTTGGGATGTAATGGATGGGAGGGGATTATGATGGAGGTGAGGTTATTTAGTGTTGTGTTGGTTTGTAGAGCTGGAGAAGGGATTAGGATGGTGGTGGGGATTAAGATGGAGGTTGGAAGAGGGATTGAGATGGAGGAGATGGAGGTGGAGGTGATATTAGAAAAATAATGAGGGGATTAGAAATTTTTTTTATTTTTTACATATTGGGAATTTTTTTAAAACATTAATGTTTAATTTTTTATATATTTTTATTTGTTTTATTATTTTATATAAAAATAAATTAACAATTCTTACACTAACAACTATCATCAAAACAAATACAATTTTACTTAATCTCCTCACTATCAATTCCCTCACTATTAATCCGTTCACTATAAATCCGTTCCATTTTACCTCTGAAAATAAACCGGTCTGGGTGTGAACTGGTACACTTTTTTTTTTTTTTTTTTTCCATAATGTTCTTTATATTGATAAGTACGATATCTATAACTGTTTCATCAAACCGTATAAACTATTAAAGTATGATATTCTATACACGTTTCATCAAACAGTATAAACTATTAAAAAAAATTTATTCACCAAATCACACCATCATTCAAAAATTTTAATGGAAAATAACAAATGATTGAGCTTCTTCTATATCCCTCTTGGCCCCGTTTATTTTGGGATATAATGGATGGGAGGGGATTAGGATGAATGTGGGGTTATTTAGTGTTGTGTTGGTTTGTAGAGTTGGAGAAGGGATTAGGATGGAGGTGGAGATTAAGATGGAGGTTGGAAGGAGGATTGGGATAGAGGAGGTGCAGGTGGAGGTGGTATTAGAAAAATAGTGAGGGGATTAGAAATTTTTTTATTTTTTACATATTGGGAATTTTTTTAACACATTAATGTTTAATTTTTTATATTTTTTATTATTTTATATAAAAATAATTTAACAATTCTTACACTAACAACTATCATCAAAACAAATATAATTTTACTTAATCTCCTCACTATCAATTCCCTCACTATTAATCCGCTCACTATAAATTCGTTCCATTCTACCTTTGAAAACAAACCGGTCTGAGTGTGAACTGGTACACTTTTTTTTTTCTTCCATAATGTTCTTTATATTGATAAGTATGATATCTATAACTGTTTCATCAAATCGTATAAACTATTAAAGTATGATATTCTATACACGTTTCATCAAACAGTATAAACTATTAAAAAAAATTTATTCACCAAATCACACCATCATTCAAAAATTTTAATGGAAAATAACAAATGATTGAGCTTCTCTTAGATTTAAATCTGAATATGAGAAAAATTGAGGAGTCCGTAAGACTCATCACAACTCTCGTTTGAATGATCTAAATTATTTATTTTGCAGGGTTCACAATATATATTATCAATAATAAAAATTAATTCGATTCAATAATTATAACATTACTATGTTTGTTAATAAAAAAAATGATAAGTATATTTTTAAAAATAGACTATCTATCTTTTAAAGATAAACACGATAAAATAAAAATCTTTTTTATTATCATATCAACTTTATTTTTTTTTCATAAATAAAATATACATATTACTATAAAATAAATTATTCAAATAATCTAAACAAGATTTACAGTAAATTTCATATTTAAATTTGATAAAAAGTCAACCAATTAGAATAGAAATAGATGATGCACCAACTGCTCATCACTATGATCAAGGCTGGTAACCACTTGTATGCTTTTTCTCTCTTAATTGAAATTAGCAGTAAGCAACCCCACACACAGTGCCCGCAAACGGCGCAAAGGAAACTTCGGGCACACACACTAATGGCAGGGCTTGAATGTGAACTTTAGTCGGTGGGTTGGGCAGGTAGGAAAATTGCTGCCCCCACTTTTCATTGGAGGATAGAGATTAGTCAAAACCCATAATTGCCTTTCCTTTTGGACATCACATAATTAACGTTTGACTATTCATCAATCAAAGTGAAACATAAATAAAGCACAAATGGGTATCGTTTTTTGAATTTTCTTCATGTCTTTTGAGTCAAAGTTCCACACTTCCATCGTCTTATTTAAGACCGTCACAAACCCGAGGAAGTGTAACGGCCTCGAGGTATACGCCCGGAGATCCCATGTTTCACTTTTTCCGATCAATCATTAGGCCACATTAAGGATAAATCTTTCAAATTTGAATGAATGGTACGAATTATGAGAAATGTAAATTTAAATTTTTATCTATATATAAATTTAAGACTCATCGCTATATAGTTAAGCATTATTTAAGAATAAATTTTGAGATTTCGACTGTTTAAAATCTAATCTTAGAAATCAGCCTTCTATAATTAGGCTTTTATTTAAGACCTTCACATACATTTTTCTTTACATTAACAGCAGCATAAGCACTGCTCACTTTTCGATCTTATTAAGAAATTTGAAGTCAATTTGGTAACATTTGACCCATTCTTTGGAAAAATACGTGTATTGCAAAATCGAATTGTTACAGAAAAATGAATTCGTCCACACATTTTTTGTGTGTAAAGAATATACAAAATATAGCGAGTGTTTGAGAAATTACTATTTTAGTAAGCTGTTTTAATTTTTAACTATTTTAGTAGGTTAAAATTTTTGTGTTTGAAAATATAATTAATTTTTCTTCTAGTTAGATGTGATGTTTATGAAAGAAAAAATAAAATAATTATGGATTTGATATGACATTTTATTTTATTAACTATTTTAACTTATTTTATCTTTTTATAAATTTTAACCTAAAAAATCAAAGGGTAAATTACACTGACACCCCCTAATGTTTATGTTTATTACAGTTCTCTCCCTCACCTTTTGAAAATTACATCTCTCTCTTGAGGTTTAAAGTTTCATTACAAATTTCCCCCCTCAGCAATTAATTTTTTTAAATACCAATTTTGCCCTCACTAGGTAAATTACATTAACACCCCTCACATTTTAGAAATTACAATCTCCTCCCTAAGGTTTAAAGTAGTATTACCAATTGCCCCCTTGATTAGTATTAGTTGGAAAAAAATTAATTAGAAAAAAATTTATTTTAAAAAAATTTTGTTAGTAAAATTTTTAAATTTTTGTTTAAAAACTAACGTGAGCTTATTTTTTGAATTTACATTTTTTCCTCAAATTCACAAACTGAGACAACCATTTATAAATCAAAAAAATTATCAAACAAGTTTTTATGATAGTTTTTAAAATTTTTGTAAATATAAATTAAAAATTAAAAATTGATAACGAAATGGTTACCAAAAAGGCTTCAGATGGTAAAAATGTCGTAAAATTAACAAATAATTAAATAAGTTACTAACGTAAGAAATGACTTATCAAAAGATTCTTAGTCTATATATGTTTTGATTTTTAGAGTTTTTTTTTTAAAAATTAAAAATTAATTTGGTGAAGAAATAAAAAATAAAAAATAATTATCATTTTTATATAATTTTTATCTTTCAAGTGGTTAGAAATAATGTTTTACAAATTAAATTGAAACAGCCATACGTATGTATATAGCTTACCCAAAAGTCAAAATGACAATTATTTCTTACTCTTAAATGATAATTATTTTTTATTTTTTATTTTTTATTTATTAACCAAATTAATTTTTAACCTTTTAAAAAAAATTCTAAAAATCAAACCATACATAACCCAAGAATTTTTTGATAAGTCATTTCTTACGTTGATAACTTATTTAATTATTTGTTAATTTTATGACATTTTTACCATCTGAGATTTGTTTGATAACCATTTCGTTTTTAGTTTTCAATTTATATTTACAAAAATTTAAAAAACTGTCATAAAAACTTGTTTGATAATTTTTTAGGTTTATAAATGGTTGTCTCATTTTGTATATTTGAGGAAAAAACTTAAATTCAAAAAATGAATTTACGTTGGTTTTTAAACAAAAATTTAAAAATTTTACTAACAATTTTTTTTTTCAATTAATTTGTTTTTTCAAATAATTTTTTATCCAATTAATTTTTTATTTTCAATGAATTTTTTTTCCAACTAATACTAACCGAAATGACAATTGATAATGCTACTTTAAGCCTTGGAGAGGGGATTGTAATTTCTAAAATGTGAAAGGTGTCAATATAATTTACCTAATGAGAGCAAAATTGGTATTTAAAAAAATTAAATTACAAAAGGGAAGAATGTGTAATGAAACTTTAAACCTCTGAGGAGAGATGTAATTTCCAAAATGTAAGGGAAGAAACTACAATAAATATAAACCTCAAGAGTGTTAATATAATTTACCCAAAACCAAAAAATAACCTCCGCCAAACACCCCTAGTTAGTCCAAATACATAAACTAGTGTAATGTCCTCACCCAAAATGATAGGCCCACTCTCTCCACCAAACGAAATACAAATTGGATTGCAATTTTACCATGTTATTCATACTTGGGGAAATTATCCACAGGTCCTATGTAAAATATGTGGATACTATTTAATCCAACAACTTTTTGAGTAAATCTAAAAGCCCTACTTTCTTCTTCTTCTCTCTCTCTCTCTCTCTGCTTTTTGCCTGACTGTTTACGTTTTCCTCTCTTTTTTTTTTTTTGCATTTTTCTCTCATCTTTTTTGTCATGGACGATTATCAGTGATCACGTCTTTCTCCATTGATCGTGGTTCACCGAAAACCACCAACCATCGAAATCAACTCGTGACTTCACCCTCACCGACGGCGAAGATGATATATTTCGATCTACTCAGATTTGATGTAGATCTACATCAGATTTGGTTAGATCTAAACAAAAAATAGTTGCCGGAGTACAATCCTCTCTCTATATCCGCCTTTCTCCTTCGATCTCTTTTTTTTTTCTCTGCTATATACTTCTGTTTTTTTGTTCTAATGGAGAAAATTTTCAAATTCTGAACAAGTAATTTTCGAGTTTTAGTTACAGGCGGTGAAAACTGTAAAATTTTGCAGTTTCAAATTTTTTTGGTGCTAGAATGAATCATGGTTTAAAAATGTAAAATTTTGTAGTTTCAAATTTTTTTGGTGTTGGAATGAATCATGGTATAAAACTGTAAAATTTTACAGTTTTATAACATTTTTTAGAACTGTAAAATTTTACAGCTTCATAACATATTTTTTAGTTTGATTAATAAAGATAAATGCTTAATAGATTTTTGCTTTGAAACTGTAACATTTTACAGTTTCAAAACTTACTTTTCAGTTTGATCAATATTGGAGATTATTTGCTTGAATCTTACAAAAATTGAAAAATAGCATATGTTTTTCCCATTGTTGCTATTTTTTGTCGTTTCATTTGTTTTTCCTTTTAGTTCATCAATATTTAGCACGTTTTGCTATTTTTTTTGCTCTAATTTCTCCATTTATTCTTTTTTTTTTTCCGGTAATATTCTAAACATTCCGTTGAATCTCCAGTGATATTCTTAACGTCCAATGAACATTCTAAACATTCCGGCGACTTCCATTAACGTTCTTAATATGCCGGTGAACTTCCAACGAAACTCCGACGACTTCCCAGTAATACTCCGGCGACTTTCCGGTGATGTTGAACATTCCGACGAATCTCTGGCGACCGTTTGACGAAAGTCCGAAGGTAGTAAGATGTAACAATGTTTGTAAATTTTTTTTTTTAAAAAAATAAAATTTTTTGGTAACAATTAAAAATATATAGGATTAATTGGTACAAGTGTTTTATTTGAAGATTAGCTAAATTTTAAACTTTGTACATGAAATTTATCAGTAAGTTTCCCTTCATACTTCCTTTTTTTGGGCGGGTTTACTAAACAAAAAATCAATAATTCAGATATCAACTAAGGAACAAAAACCCATAATCCGACTTTGTTAATAGATATTTGAACCAAGAAATTTTAATCAGTAATTGATATTCGAACCATTGAGACCCTTGCACGGTGACTGTAGAGAGTATTATTTTGGGTGTATTTAGCACTTCTCGTTGAAAGGGAATGCTTTTAAATACCCCCAATTCTTCTCTCTACACCCACTTCTTTGAGAAACAATTTTTTTCCCTCCATAAAATAGAAGATTAATTATGCATGAGGCGGGCATATAGCGAAATTTTAAAGGCATATCTAGGAGTTTCTTGATCCATAAACCATACATACGAATCAGTTATCACTAATCCGAGAAAAAGGTCCACCAAGTGACCGACCTATCTATCTAGTCTTGCAACATTCCAATTTACAAGTGCTGACATTAAAACAACATTAAACCTGCTATCTAACCCAAACAGTCCTTTGCCCAGTGGCCAGGGTTTCCGCACTTGTAACAAGCATGCGATGAAGCGGTAGTTCCTCCTTGATTGGCAGGTTTTTGAATCAAAAGGGTGGGACAGTCTTTTGCCCAATGCCCATCCATGCCACATTTAAAACATGACGAACCACTTCTTAAACCGAAGTTGTTGCTGCCCGTCTCGTTTGTCTTATAAATTTTAGCGGTGCTGACTGGGACAGGGGGGCTGCCTTGAATTGTATGTTCATGGCACCATTTGAAAAAGCCGCAAGAGCTTCCCACACAAGAAAGGAAAGGTGTAAATCAACCACCATCAAAATGATTGTAAGATATTGCTACACAGGTAATAAAAATATTTCATGTTGTTGGAGTGAAGAAATGTGAACATCTTAATTTCATTAAAAAGCTACGCACAAGTGATTCATGTGCAGAAATGACGGTTGTATCTGTTATCTGGGAAAAAAAATATGGATATAGAGGGAAGAAAATAAAATGAAATGAAGACATCAAAATTTGGACAGTTGCATAGGGGGGTAATTTGGGTATGAGAAAATACGTGACATAACTTCAAAATATTATTTGAGTTGTGTGTTTTATATAATAGAATAGATACCTCTGAAAGCATCAAAGACAATAATATAGCAGCTATTCAGTTATGTGTACTCAGATGCCGCAAAACATCATATAAGAATTAGAAAACATGAATATTAAGTTTTCAATTCAAAACAATTAAATTAAACTAGCATATTGGGTTCTGCCACAGTAAAATTGGATACTAAATTTTAAAAAGGACAACAGTTTCAAGGAAAACAACATCCTAAGCTTGAGTTCCCCACAAAATGGATTTATTTATTTATTCACATGCATAATAGCAATTATGTCTCAGCAAAATTTGGTGGAAAATCATCCACAGATACCGAAGGAAGGGTGGTCATTTGGCTTCAAGCACCAGTTTTCCCTTGTCATATCTCAAATTAGGGTTTAGGGTTTAGGTCCTTAATTGCTCAATCTTTCACACATTTAAAGCTATAAATGTGTCTGGTAGATATTACCAAACACATTTCTGCCATCTTCTTTTGAATTGTAACCTACTAGACACTGATTCATCTTCCAAGAATGTAGCTCCTTAATTGCTCAATTTTTCACAAATTCAAAGCCATAAATGAATTTGGTAGCTATTACCAGACGTTTTCTACTTTCTTTTGGAGGTCGCTATCTTCACATCTTTGTTCTGATTCATCTTTCAAGCATTTAGTTCCTTAATTGCTCAATCTTTCACACATTTAAAGCTATAAATGTGTCAGGTAGCTATTAACAGTTACATTTTCTACTACCTTCTTTTGAATTGAAACTCACTATCTTAACATCCTTGTTCTGATTCATCTTACAAGAATGTAATTCCTTCATTACTCAAATCTTTCACAATTTGGAGTTATAAATGTGCCTGGTAGCTATTACCCCCAGACAGTTTCCACTTACTTTTAAATTGCATCTAACTATTTTAACATCCTTGTTCTGATTCATCTTTCAAGAATGTAATTCCTTAATTGCTCAATCTCTCACAAATTTAAAACTATAAATGTGTCTGGTAGCTATTAACTCAGACAGTTTCTACTTCCATTTGAATTGCATCTAACTATCTTAGCATCCTTGTTCTGATTCATCTTTCAAGCATGTGATTCTGAATTGCTCAATCTTGCACACATTTAAGGCTATAAATGTGTCTGGTAGCTATAACATAAACCGTCACTTTAACTTGAAAATAATTTTGCGAACCCACTGTACTTACTTAGTACTTATCCACTTCTCTCTTTTAAATACAAACATAGCAAATCAAAACACTACTATGGAAGACAATTTGGAAGAGGTAGAAGGTACTCAACTTTTTTTTTGTGTGTGTGTGTGGGGAGAGGTTGATTTATGTGACTTGAACCCGCGTCACAAGACTAAGGGCGAATAGCACTTGCCAGGTGACAACCTCTATCACCTTCATTTGTCTATTGCCCATCAAAAAAAAATTATACTACCATTCTAGTTATGGTCTTTCTATATTGCGGTATATAAATTTATTTGGGTCACAATTAGCACAAAATGTTTAAATAGAATCTTTCCTCGGTTAATGTTCTAAAATTAAGGCTACAACAATTTTATCAGTTAAAACTATGTTGTCTGCAAGCAACATAAGCCATGGCATCTTATAGATAGCAAAACAAAAAAGGCTTTTATGGTGATCATCGAAGATGTGACTCTAATAGGTCATATAATTAATTCATTAACATTGAATTTTATCTGCAAGTATTTATTGTTCTGTATAATTTTTGTACTTTTAGTACATAAAACATAAAATCAAACAATAGTTAGGCACAAGCAATCAATTGGAAAACACTAATCTCCATTTCTGACTAAAACATTAAATTAAGATAGTTACATTAGGCACATTAAAACCTATGACAAGGCGTGTGGGGAAAAAAACAATAAAAACAACTAACTCAAACATGTCCATTAACTCTAGTCATATGCCTTTATGGGTTTAGCCCTAAGTTGTCAAATCGGGATTCGTATAGCGAATCGAAATGGTCTTGTACCGAATCGCGAATCGAATCGAATCGTGAATCGTAAAGATTCGGTCACTTTTTCTAAATTACTTAAAAACATATATCTACATATTTAGATGATAAATATATCTTATGAATATAAAATATTTAGACTTAAATAAATAAAAATGTTATTTTGAATAATAATCACATAGTTTAATAGGTAAGAAGTTAACAAAGGTTCCTATGTAAGATCACCATATTACCTTTTTTCTTTTTTAGATATTTCTTATCAACCATTCTTAATAAAGATGTAATATCACCATCTTGCCTTTTTTCTTTTTTAGATATTTCTTATCAGCCATTCTTAATAAAGATAGTAACCAAATAGACAAACTATCAATTTTCAAAGTAACAATAATTAACAACAATGTTGATATTCGGACAATAAGCATATATGCTTTTCTAAGTAACAGTGAGCAAATAATAAGAAGGAATTATTTAGAATCTTTTATTTTAAAACCTAAAATATTTTAAAAAGTACAACTGACCTCACACATGTAATATTCAATTTAATAAAATAGTAATAGATAAGTCATAGTGTAACTTTAATCTTAAACATCTTTAGAAGATATATTATGATTTTTTAAAACGAAAAAAAAAAAGAGAAGAAAAGTTAAAAATATGTTGAGTCTGATTGAATCTAATTGGATCCTATTAAAATTCCATGATCACTAAAATAACAATAAATCATATATATATGTTGGTTATTTTGGTATTAAACACTATTAAAAATTGCATTATGCCATTTTTACTAAAAAGATGGAGAAAAAAAGAGTCGAAAATATGTCGTACTCAATAATTTCAAAAATTACATGAATCGTAAAAAGTGAATCGAATCGTGAATCGATTGTGAATCGTGCGATTCACTAGAGATTTACTTCCAAAATTGATTCACCCATAGATTCCTATCGATTTTGCAAAAATTGCGAATCGAATCGTGAATCGAATTGCGAATCGTAAGATTTTGATAACAAAGGTTTAGCCCAATAAAAATATAGCTGGATGAAGTTTTAAAGAATAAGCTAGTGTTTATGGGACAATATATTTTGGTTGAGAAAAAAGCCCCTCTTAAACAATCTGTTCAAAAGCCAGAACATTTTTTTTTATTGTACCATAAAGTTTTTTTATTTCAATTTACTATCCAATTAAGGAAAAAACAAGTGGTTTACAAATCAATTGTCACTAACAACAAACTAATCTATTTTGGAAACTCCAATAATTGCAATGGAAGCATAATAGAAGTTTCATGAGCACCAATTGTTCAAAAAAAAAAAAAAGCATGATCACTACATATCCGCATGAAGTATGCAAACTTCTGCTGGTGTAACCTTCGATAGTGCAAATTTGGTCTTATTTCACATGCTTTATCATCCTCTCAGTTTTTAAAAGATTTAATTCTCTCCACACACTGAATACGGCTAGCGTTTTATATCTACGTTATATTGACAGTTACAAAGAGAGATCCCCCGCTTCATAATTAGTTTGATTTGCATTTGTGCACCAATTGAACATTCACGTTGCTATTATTTTCTTGTTCAAAGCAACTTGAGGGCCACAAAGAATTAATTTACTTCTTCCTTATCATTGAGCAACAATGCATCAAAACTTGCCGCGACAGCCTTTCTATCAGTTCTATTCACCAATACAAAAACACTAAAGACCCAAGGATGTCCACGATTTAACCAAGACCAAAATGAAATGAGTGTTTGAACATGCTTAATGCATGAACTAAAATAGACATTACTGAACAATACAATGGTTAAGAAACTGAAGAAAGAAATTTGTAGGAAAAATACCTGGTTTGCAGGACAACGGTAGAACTGCTGGCCAATATTTTTCCCAGTTTTGGCTGTAAGTATTAAGCAAGACCCAGCACCGCAGAGGCATGAAAGTTCGGGGATTGAAGGATTTGATGCATGACTTGGATTTGATACCTGAGTTTGGCTCCTAACAGTCGTGTTATCAGTTCCTATATTCTTGTCACACCACTCAAAGAAACCACAGCCCCCATTTTCCTGAACCAAAATTTACTTGCATGCATGAGCAATCTGTAGAGAATTTAATGAGTTGTATAACTTGCTAAAAAATTAAAAAACTGATGGAAGTGCCAGATTCTTATTAGCCTCTTTGTTTTTTTTTTGATCTGCAACAAAAAGAAATTTTATTAAAAGAGAAGAAGTACAAGAAAAGGAGAACAAGGAGTCTGCCAAAAGAAATACAAGAGAGAAAAGCAAATCAAAGTCCCAAACTACAATGGACGGACGGTGACATTGGTCCCCCAGATTAGTTAGTCCTCAGAGTTAGATACCGAGTCATCCAAAAAAAAAAAAAATCCCAAACTGCAAATCAGACACTAACATCAAATCTTTAGAAATAAAAATTAAAAAATAAATAAAAAAGTGAAATCCCCCTAAATGGAGGAGAAACCGAAACTCAAAAAGATGCCAAATGGCACACTCTATCCCATAACAACTCAATGTCCTCGAAATTATCATAAAAACCTCAGCATTCTGTTCCAACCACATAACCCAAAAAAGTGAGAATGTTACACAATTCCATATCACATTCACTTTCTTGTTGCAACCCAAACCCCAAAAATCAATCAAAACCATTTGTGCACAAGTAGCCAGAGCCACTTAGCCTATTATATTCCTAACCAATAAACGGCACAGGGCCCACTTACAAATGTCAAGATGTTGATAAGTACTATTTCACATGAAATGGAACAAAAAGACATTGGATAATCAGATCACAATTTTTAACTAATGAATCGAGAAATATTTTCCAATATATCTAAACCCATAATTATTATACTAAGTGTTTTGAAAATATCACAACAGCTGAACACATTCAATTTATAGCCCACAAGTGTTCAGAAAGCTAGATTTCAGGTTCAAGAATAGTGAAGCCTTTTCACATAGTCAGATTGAGCATGTGGATTACCAGCTCGCCGGAGGTTGTAGTTGAACAGGCATTCTATCTTGTAGACCCCGTGATTCCCAGGTCAGGACATGTCTACCGCTTTGAACCACATCGGGTTCTTCAAAGTGTCGTAAAAGACCCCTGATAGTGTCTTCTCTCTTCAGTGGATGTGGTTCGACACATCCGTTCATGTAGAATATCAAACATCCGCATTGGAAGTGGAATATCTTCCTGCGTTGGGCCTTCTTCTTCTCATTGCGATGCCTCTTCTTGATTGGCTCTGGCGAAGAGGGGCTAATCGATTGTGTAGAACTCTATGTTTTGGATCGTCCACGTTTGGATCCGGCATGTTCATGTTTATCTAAAAAATCTCTATAACTGGAATCAGCTCCAGGATTGCATAATATAATAGTTAGAATCCCGTCCTTTATTTTTCTTGGGCGGACATATTTACAATCCATTCCCGTTGCGCTCCAATAAATTCCCGCCAGTGTTTCAAAAATTGCGGGGCCACATCATCGATTACATTATAAAAAACATCGTCATTGTGGTCTCGCAAATCGATGTGACCAGAATAATAATTATGTGGCCCCAGAGACCGGGCCCAACATGTTTTCCCAATCCTAGATGGGCCTTCAATTATAATACTCTTTGGCCTGTGTGGTCTTTGGGCTTCATCTCGGATGTTTTCTGCAACCCATTACTGTATACATGTTGGAACGATCCATACTGTCTTTGTAAAACGATGAACGTATGGCAATGAGGGTTTAAACGATATTCTGTCGTAATTAGATGACAACTTGTCGTAATTTAGCCAATAACATTTTGGATCACCATTTCTTACCATTGCAATGCTTCGTCCTTGCTGCCGACGACAAGTGCGTCGTGATATATATTTTCTTTGTTGTTCTGATTAGCGCAGCGGCCCTTCTCACGGAATTCACCCCATTCCGTATAGTCCTCGTATTTGAATATGTATTCCAACACAGCTTGATGGTTGTTGGCCCCTTGTATATTTGGATGGAAATGGCGATTAGTGCGATCGTGAGTAACGTCGAAGAACCGTTCATCCTGTGTCTGAAAACGATATGAAAATTGGACAAGAGCATGGAGATGTGGTTCACCGTCCTCGTGTAATTCATGTGCAACCCTCACATAATTTGGTGGCCTGTTAGTGAACAACTCTCTAATTTTCTCTAACAATCTCTCTTTAGGTACAGAACATCTGGGATATGTGAGGAAGATATTCTTGTTTTGAACTCTAAAACGACGTCGCATTGAGGCCGTAACTCACTCTCAATGACGTCACTAACTCTCTCGGATGACGCAAGTCACTCTCTAAAAAATTTACTGGTATAAGAGAGTGAGGGAGTGACTTATATATGATCCCAGGAGCGTCTCTATAATATGATTGGGACACTCCCCCCCCCCCGCGCCACGTGTCGTCCCCTGATTGGTGCTCCATTCCGCATTGGATGTGGTTCGACACATCCGTTCGTGTGGAATATCGAACATCCGCATTGGAAGTGGAATATCTTCCTGCGTTAGGCCTTCTTCTTCTCATTGCGATGCCTCTTCTTGATTGGCTCTGGCAAAGAGGGGCTGATCGATTGTGTAAAACTCTGCGTTTCAGATCGTCCACGCTTAGAGCTCGGCGTGTTCATGTTTATCTAAAAAATCTCTGTAACTGGAATTGGCTCCGGGATTGCATAATACAATAGTTAAAATCCCGCCCTTTATTTTTCTTGGGCGGGCATATTTACAATTTGAAATCCATTCCCGTTGCACTCTAATAAATTCTCGCCAATGTTTCAAAAATTGTGGGGCCACATCATCGATTACATTATAACAAACGTCGTCATTATGGTCTCGCAAATCGATGTGACCGGAATAACAATTACGTGGCCCCAGAGACCAGGCCCAACATGTTTTTCCAATCCTAGATGGGCCTTCAATTATAATGCTCTTGGGCCTGTGTGATCTTTGGGCTTCATCTCGGATATTTTCTGCAACCCATTAGTGTATACATGTTGGAACGATTCATACTGTCTCTGTAAAACGATGAGCGTACGGCAATAAGGGTTTAAACGATATTCTGTCGTAATTAGATGACAACTTGTCGTAATTTAGCCAATAACATTTTGGATCGCCATTTCTTACCATTGCCAATGCTTCGTCCTTGCTGCCGGCGGCAAGTGCGTCGCGATATATATTTTCAACTACAACCTCCGGCGAGCGTTGGGAGTCTGGACATTCACGGCGACAATGTATACATGGCTGACATCTAATGGTCTCAGAAGCCTGACGGAGACTGTATTTACCCAGCTTATTGCACGCAGGCTAACGAACAAATTATCCAGCTTTGGGATTATTAGTACAGTTAATTATTGTCTCGCACTTACCATTGTACTCGACGAGCTTTCATATTATGTAAAAGATTGGCGGTGGAAAAATATTTATGTACATTTTCACGATTAAATAATAAAATGTTAAGCTATATTTAATTAATGTGATTATTATTTTGAATCATCAACAATAATATAAATGGGCCCAAATACAGTCTACTAAATTAAGAGGCCCAATTACAGTCTCCCAAATGAAGAGGCCCATTTAACGTGACAAGGCCCATAGTTAGCCAATGCTTTTTCATAGGCCCTTTAGACATAGGCCCATCAAAACTATGAAAGAAGTGGACACTAGAATGGATCATATTCGGGGCGGCCCAGTATTCCAATATAATACACAACAGGACAGAGTTACAACAAATTTGAACAAATTATTTTATTGAGGAATAGTAACAATTATACAATTATGATAATTAGGAAATTGTGTCACTATTCCTAAGTCCACAACCGGATTTTGACACATCAATTTCATCCACAGTTACGGAACAGATATCAGCGGCAGGATGTGTGTCTGCACATCGCTCCATTGTCTGAGTGGATGGAGCCATCGCCTGGGTTTCTAATTCGGAAACTGCTTTTAGACCGGCGAATAAGGCATCTTCTTGAGGCTGTAAGGCGTTGATGAGCCGGATTAAATTTTCGGCATTATCTTCACCGACGACAAATAAGGACCAGTGCAACAACAAAAGATCCGGCTCGTATTTTAAAATCAACCGCCTAAATTGACCTAGATCTACGAGATCCATTGCAAAATAATTCAAAATCCTCAATTATTTTGGATTAAATAGTTTCCCGCTTGCGCTTCCCTTTTTAAATCTTTTAATCCTGGTCGCAGATCTGGGAGTGGAGCGGAGCCCTGTAGCCGACAACAAGGCACCAAATGGGGAGGGAGCACCAATCAGGGGACGACATGTGCCGCGGGAGGGAGCGTCCCAGTAATATTATAGGGACGCTCCTGGGATCATATATAAGTCACTCCCTCACTCTCTTATACCAGTAAAGTTTTTAGAGAGTGACTTGCGTCATCCGAGAGAGTTAGTGACGTCATTGAGAGTGAGTTATAGCCTCAATGCGACGTCGTTTTAGAGTTCAAAACAAGAACATCTTCCTCACATATCCCAGATGTTCTGTACCTAAAGAGAGATTGTTAGAGAAAATTAGAGAGTTGTTCACTAACAGCTACCAAATTATGTGAGGCTTGCACATGAATTACACGAGGACGGTGAACTACAACTCCATGCTCTTGTCCAATTTCCATACCGTTTTCAGACACAGGATGAACGATTCTTTGACGTTACTCACGATCACACTAATCGCCATTTCCATCCAAATATACAAGGGGCCAACAACCATCAGGCTGTGTTGGAACACATCTCCAAATACGGGGACTACACGGAATGGGGTGAATTCCGTGAGAGGGGCAACTGCGCTAACCAGAACAACAAAGAAAATATATATCACGACGCACTTGCCGCCGGCAGCAAGGACGAAGCTTTGGCAATGATAAGAAATGGTGATACAAAATGTTATTGGCTAAATTACGACAAGTTGTCATCTAATTACGACAGAATATCGTTTAAACCCTCATTGCCATACGTTCATCGTTTTACAGAGACAGTATGGATCGTTCCAATATGTTGTCCAAAGGATAATGGCTGACAACTTGGTCCAGTATTTTCATGAGTTTA